CTTTAAGAAAACCGCTGTATACTCTACATTCCTCTTTCATTTCGTAGCAGGAAATGCCAAGGTGCGGGGTCTGAGTACCACAACTGGTATTCACCAGAGCTGCTGATGGTGGGGATGGGTTTTGCTGCGTGTTAGTCCCAGGTCGCGGTCCTCAGGTTCACCCCACCAGGAGGTGAGCAAGCTGGGTTCCAGTAGCAGGTAAAGCATGTAGGGATTGCTTGTTCCTTGAGTATACTTCTGCTTGATCCCAACCTGCCACTACCACCCGTGACTTGTTTACTGACTACACTGCTTGATCTCTACATGCTTTACACGAATCCCCCTCCAACATTTCCCCTCCCAGCATGAATCCCCCCATTCCCCCCTCCCAGCATGAATCCCCCCCGTTACCTCTCCCAGCATGAATCCCCCCATTCCCACTCCCAAATCCCCCTATTCCCCTTCCCAGCACATATCCCCTCCCCCACAAAAAAAAAAGTTTTCCCTCCAAGCACAAACCCCCCCCCCCCCCCCCCCCCCTACCATATCACCTCTTCTAGTACAAACCCGCCAAATGCCCCCTCCTAGCACAAATCCTCTTCTCCCTTCCCGATCTGTGTGCCATAGGAGCCAGGGACACCTAAAACCAAAGTATGTCTGCATAGGACACACCCCCTGCCACGCCCAACCCCTGCCACGCCCATCTAAAGGAGAAGTAAACAAAAAAATGGTTTGTTAAAACCCACAAATGCTTTTATTTTACCATTACTATTCCTTTATACCAATGCGATCCAAGTATAGGGATCCAACCAAAATGAGGGACAAATGAGGAGGAAAGAGAGACAGAGGGACTTTGTTCCAGATCCAGGACAGTCCCTCGAAACCAGGGACAGCCCCTCGAAACCAGGGACAGCCCCTCAAAATCAGGGACAGTCCCTCGAAATCAAGGACATCCAGGAGTTATTGTCTATAGCCACACCTCCCAACTGTATTCAATACATACCGCGGCCACAACGCTTCACCACAAATTATACCCCCCACCCCCAACTGATCGCTATGGTAACATAACATTCCTAGATTGTAAGCTCCAAGGATCAGGGCCCTCCCCCCCCCCTCGTGTATTGTATTGTTCTGTATTGTCTCATGTTCTGTCCCCACTATAATGTACAGCGCTGAGCAAACCTTCTGCCGCCATATAAATCCTGTATATAATAATAATAACATTCAAAATGCTCTTTTCACTTATCTGTAACCATGGCAACGTGACACCCCAGGCTTGGGCCTTCTCATCTTCTGTTTACTTCCTGGAAGGGCCCTTCTTTAGATGTCCTTGTCACTGCCAGTCAGATGTGGACACTTCATATTAGATGAATGCAAGCCCAGGTCTTCTCTTCTGTTTACTTCCTGGAAGGACCCTTCTTTAGATGTCCTAGTCACTGCCAGTCAGATGTGGACACTTCATACTAGATTAATGCAAGCCCAGGCCTTCTCACAGAAATATAGAAATGTGAGAAAAAGATGTGACAGTCTGCTTGTTTTCTCTTCTGTTTAAAAAGGGCCCTTCTCTAGGTGTCCATGCCAAGTGGACACTTCATTGAATGCCAGTCTGGGCCTTCTCTTCTGTTTACTTCAAAAAGGGCCCTTCTTTAGGTGTCCATGTCCCTGCCAGTCAGATGTGGACACTTCATACTAGATGAATGCCAGTCTGGGCCTTCTCTTCTGTTTACTTTCTGGAAGGGCCCCCTTCTTTAGGTGTCCATGTCCCTGCCAGTCACTTTGTGGACACTTCATACCAGATGAATGCCAGTCTGGGCCTTCTCTTCTGTTTACTTTCTGGAAGGGCCCTTCTTTAGGTGTCCATGTCCCTGCCAGTCACTTTTGGACACTTCATACCAGATGAATGCCAGTCTGGGCCTTCTCTTCTGTTTACTTTCTGGAAGGGCCCTTCTTTAGGTGTCCATGTCCCTGCCAGTCAGATGTGGACACTTCATACCAGATGAATGCCAGTCTGGGCCTTCTCTTCTGTTTACTTTCTGGAAGGGCCCTTCTTTAGGTGTCCATGTCCCTGCCAGTCAGATGTGGACACTTCATACCAGATGAATGCCAGTCTGGGCCTTTCTCATGTTTACTTTCAGGAAGGGCCCTTCTTTAGGTGTCCATGTCCCTGCCAGTCAGATGTGGACACTTCATACCAGATGAATGCCAGTCTGGGCCTTTTCTTATGTTTACTTTCAGGAAGGGCCCTTCTTTAGGTGTCCATGTCACTGCCAGTCAGATGTGGACACTTCATACATACCTCCCAACTTTTTGCGATTGGAACAAAGGACACCTATTAGCAAAAGTATGTAGGTATAGGACACCCCCCTGCCACACCCCCTTTAAAGGACAATTATTTTTAAAAATGATTAGTTAACCAGTTTCCGTCCGACCTATGGCCAAATGGCAGTCGGGCTGACACTTCGTCCCTCCGGGAGGACGCCATATGGTGTCCTTCCTGGAACGTGCGTTGGGCATGCCTGCAGGGCCGCGCTGTGGCGAGATCTGTCACCGGCTGTGTACCTCAGACATGGCCGATGACAGATCTCTGTGCTGGCCCCGTTGCCAGCACCATGTGACCAATCACAGCAAGTCACATGACAGTTGTATACAATGGATGGCTTCCTTTCATGCCATCCATTGTATACTAGTGTGTCTAGCTGTGAATGGTCACAGAGATCACATGCACAGGCGGGCCAATCACAGGCCATCTGTGTCATGTAATTAGCCATGGCCAATCACAGCTAGGCACAACAAAAAAAAAACCTGAATGAATCGATTTCTTTGCTATAATCAATCAAATTGTGTGAAAAAAAAATACTGATCATTTCCCCAAAGTTGTACAATATTACTGCAATACTACTTTGTCATAGTGCAATATGAAAAAAAAAATCTTAAAAAAAAGAGAAAAAATGTAATAAAAAATAATTAAAAAAAGGTTTTTTTTTTCGTACTGTCACCAGTCAGTGTCCCTGATCAACGCCACACCAGTCATATGATGACAGCGTACTGCACTGGTGACAGGATGGAAACGAAAAATTGTGAAACATATGACAAAAAAATTACAACTTCAAAAAACTCGCCAATACTCTTATGAAATACGTCGGACTGTCTACTCTGCAAAAAGGGGTCATTTGGGGGATATCTGTACCGTCCTGACATTTGGGGGATATCTGTACCGTCCTGACATTTGGGGGATATCTGTACCGTCCTGACATTTGGGGGATATCTGTACCGTCCTGACATTTGGGGGATATCTGTCCTGTCCTGACATTTGGGGATATCTGTACCGTCCTGACATTTGGGGGATATCTGTACCGTCCTGACATTTGGGGGATATCTGTACTGTCCTGACATTTGGGGGATATCTGTACTGTCCTGACATTTGGGGGATATCTGTACCGTCCTGACATTTGGGGGATATCTGTACCGTCCTGACATTTGGGGGATATCTGTACCGTCCTGACATTGGGGGGATATCTGTACCGTCCTGACATTTGGGGGATATCTGTCCTGTCCTGACATTTGGGGATATCTGTACCGTCCTGACATTTGGGGGGGATATCTGTACCGTCCTGACATTTGGGGGATATCTGTCCTGTCCTGACATTTGGGGATATCTGTACCGTCCTGACATTTGGGGATATCTGTACCGTCCTGACATTTGGGGGATATCTGTACTGTCCTGACATTTGGGGGATATCTGTACCGTCCTGACATTTGGGGATATCTGTACCGTCCTGACATTTGGGGATATCTGTACCGTCCTGACATTTGGGGGATATCTGTACCGTGCTGACATTTGGGGGATATCTGTACCGTCCTGACATTTGGGGGATATCTGTACCGTCCTGACATTTGGGGGATATTTGTCCTGTCCTGACATTTGGGGAATATCTGTACCGTCCTGACATTTGGGGGATATCTGTACTGTCCTGACATTTGGGGAATATCTGACATGTCCTGACATTTGGGGGATATTTGTCCTGTGACATTTGGGGAATATCTGTACCGTCCTGACATTTGGGGGATATCTGTACCGTCCTGACATTTGGGGGATATCTGTACCGTTCTGACATTTGGGGGATATCTGTACCGTCCTGACATTTGGGGGATATCTGTACCGTCCTGACATTTGGGGGATATCTGTACCGTCCTGACATTTGGGGGATATCTGTACCGTCCTGACATTTGGGGATATCTGTACCGTCCTGACATTTGGGGATATCTGTACCGTCCTGACATTTGGGGGATATCTGTACCGTCCTGACATTTGGGGGGATATCTGTACCGTTCTGACATTTGGGGGATATCTGTACCGTTCTGACATTTGGGGGATATCTGTACCGTCCTGACATTTGGGGGATATCTGTACCGTCCTGACATTTGGGGGATATCTGTACCGTCCTGACATTTGGGGGGATATCTGTACCGTCCTGACATTTGGGGGGATATCTGTCCGTCCTGACATTTGGGGGGATATCTGTACCGTCCTGACATTTGGGGGATATCTGTACCATCCTGACATTTGGGGGATATCTGTACCGTCCTGACATTTGGGGGGATATCTGTCCTGTCCTGACATTTGGGGGATATCTGTACCGTGCTGACATTTAGGGATATCTGTACTGTCCTGACATTTGGGGGATATCTGTACTGTCCTGACATTTGGGGGGATATCTGTACCTGTCCTGACACTTGGGGGATATCTGTACCGTGGGACATTTGTGGGGTATCTGTCCTGTCCTGACATTTGGGGGATATCTGTCCTGTCCTGACATTTGGGGGATATCTGTCCTGTCCTGACATTTGGGGGATATCTGTCCTGTCCTGACATTTGGGGGATATCTGTCCTGTCCTGACATTTGGGGGGATATCTGTACCGTCCTGACATTTGGGGGATATCTGTACTGTCCTGACATTTGGGGGACACCGTGCTGACATTTGGGGGGTATCTGTCCTGTCCTATAAGGGTCCTGTCCTGACATTTGGGGGGTATCTGTTCTGTGCTGACATTTGGGGGGGGTATCTGTCCTGTCCTGGCATTTGGGGGATATCTGTCCTGTGCTGACATTTGGGGGGATAGCTGTACTGTTCTGATATTTGGGGGATATCTGTCCTGTCCTGACATTTGGGGGATATCTGTACTGTCCTGACATTTGGGGGGATATCTGTCCTGTCCTGACATTTGGGGGGATATCTGTACCGTTCTGACATTTGGGGGGATTTCTGTACCGCCCTGACATTTGGAGGATATCTGTTCTGTCCTGACATTTTTGGGCCTTCAGAAATTAGATCGTCCATCAGTACATCAGGATTGACCAATTTTCAGATATATCCCATAGTTTGTGAACTCTATAACTTTCCTACAGACTAAATAATAAATAATGATTTTGGTTATTTTCACCAAAGACATGTAGCAGAATACATCTCAGCCTAAATTTATGAAAAACAATTATTTATTTGCAAACTTTTATAACAGAAACAAAGAAAATCATGAGTTTTTTTCAAAATTTTTGGTCTTTTTCGCTTTTCTTGTTTTTCGCTTTTTTTTGTTAATTTAGCAAAAATTAAAAACCCCAGCAGTGATTAAATACCACCAAAAGAAACATAAAATGTATAGTGCAGCGCTATAGAAATCTAAAAACATATATAAGATGCAAATGCCTGAGGCTAAAAATTCACAATAAGATTGCTGGTATAGCATAGAATAAAATAGCAGAATGGTGACAACTAATGTCCGTATCCGATGTGAAATAATATATCCCAACAACCATGCACTATCCAAGATGGACGCCAGCACATGGAGTAACATAACCTCAGGGAAAAGGGAGGAGATCCAACAGAATAGTCCATTGCTCATCTGGTGGGTCCACATATAAATGATGTGGAAGGAGGTCTGGTGGAATCCATAATATAAGCATTCTTGTTTTTGACTTCTCTGGCTAGAGGGTCAAAACTTTTTGCACTCTAATTTGCAGACCTGCTCCTGGATACACCGGAGGGACCCAGACCAGATCCTTTAAGTCCAACACAGGGGGACCCCTAAGTGGAGAGGATCATCAGCCTCATACACAGCTGAGGGAGGACCACCAGTATCGGATGAACCTGGATCATTTATACACAAAGGCGCATATTTTATGCGGGTCTGGTGAGTGCGCATTGCTTTATCACTTTCGTGCACGGATACCTGAACCAAGTCACCTGAATACCTAAGTCACCTGCATACTTGAGCACCTAATCTCTGTCACCTAATTGAGGAGGACTTTTTATTGATCGAACTGATTGAATACATGTCATTACCTATATATGTTTAGCGCTGCACTTTATTTTATGTTTAGTAAGGTCTTCTAGGGGTTATTGGTACCTTATTCGTGCATAGCAGCTTTACAATTGTTTAATACTAAGGCGCTTCTCTCCAGTCACTTTCAACCATGCACTATATATAACCAAAATGCAACAATAAATGTCCAATAAGTGCTGGAAGTGATGTTGGTACAGGAAAATGATAAGCTGGACAGGTGACTTCTCTACTCCCAGTGACACATGTGATCCGGTGACGTGCGGGGAAAAACGGTTAAAATTGCACACTCACCAGAGGCGCAATATAAATGCACATTTACATCAAATAAGCCAGAGGTCCCTGGAATGGATACCTCTTCTGTGGATAAGGGTGATGGAAAGACACTTCTAGAGGTCCCCTTTAAAGCTGGCTGCGGTGGGGGTCTGCTTTTAAATTTCTCTCCTCTTGGCCCTGGGATGGTCACCTGGGGATCCTGGGGGATTAAGTGCTTGGTGTGGAGCAAAAAATAGTACCCATAGTGTAGTAATTATTCATAAAAATAAATTTATTGTTATAGGTATTAAAAATGCAAATAAACACACTTAGGCGAAATAATTCCATGGGTGAAGATAGGTGATAATACAATCCTTAGAAATAGGTCTAAGCAGCATAAAGCTGCTGTGTGCACTGACCAGCCGGATACAAAGATGGCCGCCAGACCTCCGTGATCCGGCGGCGTGACGTCACGGCGTGCAGGGCTCCTTCTTTACCCATGGGAATTATTTTGCCTAAGTGTGTTTATTTGCATTTTTAATACCTATAACAATAAATTCATTTTTATGAATATAAAGGACGTAGGACCAGCAAGTCTGAATTCCGGAAACACGTCACCAGGTGAGACCAATCTTGAGTTCTCCTGGTTGTAGGGTAAGAATCTGGTGTACAACCCGGAATCAATGGCTGCATCCTATCTTGGGTCTACGATTCGGGTTGGTTGTGTATTAGTCCAGGGCAGGGGCGGACTGACCATTTGGAAACTTGGGCACTGCCCGAGGGCCCGGGGTCAGTAGGGGGCCCCATGAGATGCCCCTGGTAGCTTTTTCGTAGGCTTTTTTGAGTTTGGGCAAGGACACAGGGGCCCCATGATCCCCTATTGCCCGGGGGCCCCATGAGTTGTCAGTCCGCCCCTGGTCCAGGGTATCTCTCCGGTTATAGCAGACCATGTAACAATTATGGGGCCACAGAGGTGTCTGGCTACACACTCATTAATGCGCAGAAATGCATTTGGAAAAAAATTGGTGTAGATAACATTTGGAAATTTCTATGACAGGCATCACTAAATGGCGGACCGGGGTCTGGATGCGGACTGAGTCACCACCCCATCCGGACCAGTACGGTCCTGCCATTTAGGAGCCTTTTCTTCCCCCAGCCATCCTCACGTTGCTGACAATGGAAGGCAAGACAGTTCTGAATGGAGGGCGGGAGCTGCCTGAGGTTAACAAGCAACTGATTGGTTGATGAAGGGCAGTCCTAGCAATCAATCACTGTCTGTGTAAGGTAGGACAGGGACAGGGGCAGATGTGAAAAGAAACCAAGGACTGAATGTTGGGGAGCTGAGGACATTAAATGGGGGGGCTGAGAACAGTAATATGGGGGGACTGAGGACAGCGAGGGGGGCGGGGCATTGATGACATTATAATTAATGTGGAGGAGCTGAGGACTGAAATGTGGGGGGCTAGAGGCTGTGATGAGGAGGGGGGCTGAGGACAATAATGTGGGGGCTAAGGACCGTGATGTGTGGGGGCTGAGGACATTAAGTGCGGGGGGGGGCTGAAAACAGTAATATGGGGGGACTGAAGACGGGGGGGGGGGGGGGTGAGGACATTATAATTAAAGTGGAGGAGCTGAGGACTGAAATGTGGGGGGCTAGAGGCTGTGATGAGGGGGGGGGGGCTGAGGACAATAATGTGGGGGCTAAGGACCGTGATGTGTGGGGGCTGAGGACATTAAGTGGGGGGGGCGGAAAAGGAAAAACAGTAATATGGGGGGACTGAGGAAGGGGGGGGGGGGGTTGAGGACATTATAATTAAAGTGGAGGAGATGAGGACTGAAATGTAAGGGGGCTAAGGACTGTGATGTGTGGGGGCTGAGGACAATAATGTGGGGGGGGGGGGCTGAGGACAATAATGTGGGGGGGGCTGAGGACAATAATCTGGGGGGGCTGAGGAGAATAATGTGGGGGGGGGGGGCTGAGGACAATAATGTGTGGGGGGGGGGGGCTGAGGACAATAATGTGGGGGGGGGGGCTGAGGACAATAATGTGGGGGGGCTGAGGACAATAATGTGGGGGGGCTGAGGACAATAATGTGGGGGCTAGGAACATTAAAGTGGTGGGGCTGAGAATTGTCATGGGGGGGGGGGGGGTTGATGTCAAGGAAGTGGGAGAACACAACTGTGAAAGAGGTGGAGGGGGGCGATGTACCGGGGGAGCTGAGGACCCCCAACAAGTGGGGATCTTGCTGTGAAGGAGGAGGGGGCTGTGATGTGCAGTGGGGATTGAGGACACGGATGTGAGAACACGTTCAGATCTGCACATGTGCATTTGGTGCTCCCCTCTCGGGAAGGTCAGCGAAAGGGGGTCAGAGAAAGAAGTCCACAACCCTTTTTTTCAAAATTGTGCGGCAGCAACATGCGGTTTGGTGAACACAGAAACGCACCCCAGGTGCCTACATGAGTTTCGGACCTCTGCTGGATGAGAGGTTTCCTGGTGAATTTGAATTCAATACTCCGCTCTATGACAACGATTAGTATTCTGCATCGCTAGAGGAACTTTCCTCAAGATGGAGATTTGAGAGGCATTTTGAGGGGCCCCTTCATGGGTTTGCTATAGGGACCCATCGCACATAGTTGTGGCCCTGCTGTTGTTATCCAACATGGCCTCTACAGAATCCGCACTCTTCTGAACATGGCTGCACCTAATAAAGTGTCCCGAAGGTTTGTCCTCCTACATAGTGTGCTTTAAAGCAGTGGTCTCCAAACTGTGGCCTGCGGGACGCATGCAGCCCTCTGCTTACTTTTATTTGGACCTTGAGGTAATATATCTTCCACTATTATGAGACATATTCCTCCCACTGACACCAACAACAAAACACCATTCTTTTTCTCTGACACCAATAATGGGACACTATTCCTCCCACTGACACCAATGATGGGACACTATTCTTCCCACTGACACCAATGATGGGGCACTATTCCTCCCACTGACACCGATGAGGGGCACTATTCCTCCCACTGACACCAATGATGGGACACTATTCCTCCCACACTGACACCAATGACGGGGCACTATTCCTCCCCCCCCACTGACACCAATGATCCTCGATGGGGCACTATTTCCTCCCACTGACACCAATGATGGGACACTATTCCTCCCACTGATACTCCCAATGACCAATGGGGCGCTATTCCCCACTGACACCAATGATGGGGCGCTATTCCTCCCACTGATACCAATGATGGGGCGCTATTCCTCCCACTGACACCAATGATGGGGCGCTATTGACACCTCCCACTGACACACAATGATGGGGCACTATTCCTCCCACTGACACACCAATGATGGGGCACTGTTCCTCCCACTGACACCAATGATGGGACACTATTCCTCCCACTGACACCAATGATGGGGCACTATTCCTCCCACTGACACCAATGATGGGGCACTATTCCCCCCACTGACACCAATGATGGGGCACTATTCCTCCCACTGACACCAATGATGGGGCACTATTCCTCCCACTGACACCAATGATGGGGCACTATTCCTCCCACTGACACCAATGATGGGGCACTATTCCTCCCACTGACACCAATGATGGGGCCACTATTCCTCCCACTGGGACACTATTCCTCCCACTGACACCAATGATGGGGCACTATTCCTCCCCACTGACACCAATTGATGGGACACTATTCCTCCCACTGACACCAATGATGGGGCACTATTC